CCAGCCACTCTGTCCTCAGCCTGTAACAGCTCAGACTTCCTACACAACGCAATCAAACTGTGCAGTCACCAGGTTTATCTTTTGGCTCGTGCTGTCATAATGATCAGTTTTGGTTTGTATCTTAATATTAATCAAAATTAAAACCATTTTAGTAGGGCAGTTTTATGAGTCAGAGTCTACTTTAAATATCTAGTTAAGCTATTTCATCATCAAAAATCTAAAAATATCACGGCCTTGTCTTTTAGAAGAACCCAGAAGACTCAAAGTATCTTTTGCTTTCCTGCAAAACTTTTGTAAACATTCTCCTCAGAAAAGAAGAACCAGACTCCCTAGAGAGTCTCATGTTGCTTTCACTTTACTGCCTCAGGCTCTTGCTGCTCAACATTAAAGGGTTTCTTATGGTTTATTATCACGTCTACACATGGAAGCTAAAAGAGCTGTACAAAACAACCTGTATGTACCTTAACTGTCTGGGAGGTAATAGACATTGCTATTTTAAACAAAAAGCTGTATTTGTCGATGATTAGCTAAGAATACTACCAAGACATTATTTCCTGAACATATATAGTTAATATGAGCATGAGACAAAGACCTTTTTACAATATACTTTCAGGACATTTTACAGTACAGTACACTACCAAATAAAAATTTTCAGCAAATTTCTTGTGCAAGAAAGCAGAAATACACATATGTATACATACACTTCTAGTGCAATATTGTTGAAATGCCATTTTAGAGCTGGAATTTTCATATTTCTGAGTGCTTGGGCTGATTTTTAACCTCTAACAGGGCACAGGCTTAACTGGCAGTAGGGTATGCAAAGCCTGCTGAGCTAGAAAAGGACTGAAATTAAATACCTTTTCTACAAGACATAATTAGTTAATATAATATCACCTGGAATACACTGCAAAGGTATGTTTTAGAAGTATACCCACTGGTAGCAAACACTAAATAGCAAAATTATGTCTTGATTTTTTTTCTCATTACTTTCATATGGAACACACTGTGCAATTCTCTTGTAGCCATGTGCACTCAAAATCAGTCTAATATGCAGGAGAAATGTATTTCTTCTGGACAAGCAGTTTATTGTCTGGCAACCTAAAAAGCAGCAGTGTTTTGGGTTAATTTTCTCCACGTCACAACTTATTTTTAAAAAACAACAAAAATAACACCACCAACAAAAAAACCCCACCTCTAAGACCCATCAAAACAGCCACTTACTGGAAATCGAACTACGGTCACATCTGTCTTTGTGGCTTCAACAAGGAAGTCCATCCAGAAATCCACAAGTTCCTGTTTGGCTGTATGTTGCTCTGGAGTCAGTTTCTTGAAATGCTGATATATCAAAATAGTCTCTACAATAGACTGCAGGTACCTGTGATCATCCAAACATACAAAGACAGTAAATTTAATACATTTTATAAATAATAATGTCTCTACCTTTAACCAAAACCGAAGTATTCACCACTGCAACACCAAAGCTGCCAGTAACATCTTGGTTTTCTGTGACTGCTTTTCATAATAGCAGTTCCCACTTAGAACTGGAAATGCAGCTGCTATATCACTCAACTGCAATACAAATGAGTTCCGGGACACTCCTTCCTGCACACATTCCTGATACCATATACTGTCTTCCATCCTAACACATAAAAACTTAATGAAATAGCTAAATCCTCTACCTAAGGACCAAACTGAGCCCATATCAAACTTGTTTCAGTAGTGACTTACCTCGCAAACTTAGGTGAAAAGTCCACTAATTTAACTTTGGACACTGTTCTGTCTTCTATATTTTATCTACATTGGCAGTTATTTAACACAGATTTCTAAAACCTGATGCTTCCAGAACTGATTATCCTATAAAGATGACAACAGCTATGCTCAGGAACCTTTTGGCATTGCTAGGAAAGGACAACAGCAGTGATGAATGTCTCCCCTAAATGCAGCTCATCCCTCTCTCTGTTGTTTCATTTTCTGGGGCTCCTTCCAACATTGCTTTCTCTCGACATTTTTGAAAAACCATAATCTTATGCAATTTTTATGAATACTACAGCAATGAGATATACATGCTAAATGAGAATTTATCACAGCTATCACATTATAGCAATTAGGCTATTCATGGAAATTTTTGTTTCAATGCTTATAAGATATAATGTAAACTCAGAGGGTCTTTTGTTAACATTTCCATAGCTGTGCAATTTCCAATCATTCTTAGGCCATAAGGATATCCAGCTTAAGGTACTGTATCTACTCCCATTTGTACCAAGTGGGCTCTGCTAAAGAGCAGGCAACAGACTGAAAAGGAATTGCTCACAGGAGAAATTCTTCTTGAAGCACAAATGAGTGTGCTGTATTTTCAGAGTTGAATCTACAGACTTAAACCCCAAAGGCACTGGGGTACATAAAATCCTGACAACCAGGTATTCATAAACTCCAGAAAATTCTACCAGGAGACTTTCAGAGAGTGCTATCCAGCTTCCCAGTAAAATATACACATAGTAAAAATGAAAAACCTTGCAAATAAGTACACTGTAAATAGCATTTATGAAATATTTTGTCAGAAAATAAAAGTTCTTAATTTGACAGTTTCCTACATTATATCGATACAGAAGTTTAAGATTTCTGTATTTTAGCACATATACATACTGATCTGATCAGCTTCTGGAGACACTTTCTAGCCTTTGAAAAAGCCAATAATACATAGGCTACAGCATCTGCACTCTGTCAATTGGCAGAGTGACAGCTTCCTTAGTCAGAGAGGAGCCTTGGTTCTCCCCAGCTAAAAGGATCCCAGCCCTTAATGGGTAGATGACTGGTCCTTAATTGCTGCCTATATCCAAAGCAGAACCTGCTCTCAGAGCATGCATCTCTTGGCCTTTGCATAACAGATGTTGAGTCTACATGGTTGTCTTTAACCTTAGATTTATAACCTTTCTGTTAATTGGACTTTAATCTGCAGTCTTGTACCATACAGCTAATTTGTATTCAATTTCCAAAACAACTGGCATGCGTCATATCCATCACAACATTCAAGGTATAGCCAGGCCCCTCTAGCTAAACTGTCTGCATTCTCTAAAACTTTCAGGCAGCTATGACTAAACTCATAAGCCACTACCACTTCTCTTGAGCAATGTAGCTGCTGAAGTACAGTGCCTACAAGCAACTCCTCCTCTCCCCTTTGACCTGAGAAGAGCCTGGAATCAGTGGTGCATCTGTCCTTCTCAGACATCAAATTAAAGACCTATATCAGATCTATCCCTGAATAAGGGCAAAAGGGGAAGAGAGTCCCTTGCCTGGGTAAAAGTACAGTGAAACAATACACAGACAGCAAAATCGGTTAAAAAAAAGAGCATCTCCTGTCAACTAAATACAATGCTGAATGTGAAAGCTGAAGGAGTCCAATGTTTTAATACACAGCAATGTTACATGGCCTCATTTATCACCTTACCATGCTGGTGCCTTTAGCTTAAACAGCTTTTCTGAAGCCTGGATCACTCTTATATGATCATTAGCCAACATACTGGCCCCCAAGAAAGATCCCACTTCCCAATAGCTCTGCAGTTTCTCCAAGCTCCCCTTTTTACCAAGCAGGCTGCTGATCTTTACTCCTGTAGTAAAAAGAATAACAGGTCACAAGAATTTGTATTAATGCAGTTCTTAAATAACCATTTCTCTGACTTAAAATCTATTAATCATTTTCATTACTATAGCCTCTATATTCTGATAAAGTAAGATGGAAATCATACTTACCACTTAATATCTTCCAAACACCCTAAGTGGTAGCAGATGGCTTATTTTTCCCCTCCCCCTTCTCAAGAAAGGAACTTTAAGACATCACTGTCAGGACAAGGCCACAGTCAGATTACCTATGTTCTTGCATGGACCTCATCTGTAAAGGTAAATTGGGGCCTCAGGCTATATAACATAGCTGTAAAAACTTAACAGATGCTGAATAAGGCACCTATTATGTTTTTCTCTGCTTTGTTTTTTTGACTTACAAGCCCCAAGCCCCAAACTTACCTTTATAGACAAGGTCCCATGCAGAAGGAAGAGATGATCCACTAGGCTTCCTCCAGCAGTGATGTTCTTTTAATTGCCGCAAGTCCTACCCCAATGAAAGACATCTATTAATATTCGTAAGTCCCTCAGCAACTTGACTATGGAGAGCCTCAGGTTTTATTTTGACTTGGTAGGTTTGCTGGGAACTACAGGCTCCCCTGTGGCCTTCAGGATGAGTTTTAATTCAGATTAGCTGCTACATATAGCTAACATGAGGTATGCTACACCATTCCCTGCAAATAAAACAATGTGCAGTTTACAGAACAAGCCTCTTCACTACTGTAGTCTTTATTCACTTCTCCCACACTATGACAGTTTCCCTTCCACCTCACCTTCCACTGTCCTTGATATTCAAGCTGAATATTTACAAGAAATTTCACTGCAAATGTTGATATTTACTTTTCCTGTAACCTTCCTTGAGTAGCTAGTAGACAAAGCTTCATGGTAGAAGCAGCACTAAACCTTATCAAAATGGGTATCTTTACAATAGCTACATTTCAGTCTACAAAATTTATCTTGTTTTAACACATTGTTCACATTTTTATACTATCAATGTCAGATAACAAGTGCTTTTAAAATGTGAAATTGTATCCAAGTGGCCTCTAGTTTATTTCACATCTGTATTTCACATTTTGTGCTCTCTTGCTAACAAGAAATTGTCATGCTTGAGTAACATACAGAACAAAATAGTACTTTAATCATAAAAAACATTATTTGTTTGCTTCTTGGGAAATAAGTTTTAGTTATTCCTGAAGACAAAAACAATGCCATAGTTTTTACAAAATATCTCAGGTGTCCCTGAGACATGATGCAATGTACATCACCCCTATCAACTCCACAATGTACAATGGTGACCATCTCTACGTAGATCAGCTCTCCAAGGCTTTAAGCCAGAGTGCTATACACATACACAGGGTCAAAGAGACTGCTTGAAGCTGCACACCTACCCTACACAGTGTAGGATAGGAAGGGGGAATTTCTGTTAAATGTGTTCAACTTGAGTTGGGCTTTAGAAATCAAAACCTGAATGCTATCCACAAAACACAGTAAATGGAAAAAACTAATCTCTCCCAGGACCCTAGAGTGACACTCCTCGGCAATATCCTCAGAAGCCAAAAGGCTCTGCTAGAATGTCTAAAACATTTGCATGCACATGACAGCAACATACAAGAAAAAAATACCTACTAACTTCCACAGGCTTTGAAAGAGACCTCATCGCAAGGGACGTAAGGAACTAGTATCACAGGGATAAGTGGATCATTTCAGTTGGACATATCTTTGCTGGAAGGTGAGGAATTTAGCTGTGCACAGGGCCTTTGCTAAGTACTGGCTGATGGCATGCACAGTTGCAGTGACCACTGACAAGCTATCACAAGCTATTTGTCACAGTGAGCAGCAGCACTGGTCTGGGGTTCACAGGCTTACATGCTCTGCCATGGTTCACTGAACCTGCAGGAACCCACCCATCACAGCCCTCCAGTGCTACAGACATGGAGACAAAGCTAAAAACTGGGTGTGTGGTTTTGATGAGAAGTACAGCTTACATGGGGAGGGACAGGAATTACTGGCATGGCCAGGAGAGGTGTTTGTTAGGAGGGTAAGAATGGTGACAGCAGGGATTTGAGTCCCAGCTCAATAAGGGAGATAGTGGGAGAAAGGATGGATGTGTAGCAGCAATGATATCTGAGGACACCAAGTTTGGGAGACATTACTGTTATGTAGCCCGGATAAACTCAGTTTAACTCAAGTATTCTGTGAAGTGGATCCTATTACCTTAGAGAAGACAACATCACCCTCTCATCAAGTTCTACTGATAAAGACAAGGTACCCTGTGCTAAAACTCACTCTACCTTGCTGACCTTCCCCTACAAAGCTCATCTACAAAGTTACTAACTCCTGAAAGGCAAGTTGGAAAAATGCAGTTGCAGTGTGAAGACATTAGCAACAGGTTCAAAAGACTAATTTCTAGAGGGGTTTTGTTTTGTTTTCCAGTGGGTATGATGATTATTGGGGGGCAGTGGAACAAAAAAACCTTTGTATTGAAACATGCAAAGTGACCTTTCATGAATTTAATTCTGAGTTTATGGTCTCCTGGTATAATTTCTCTTTTCATAGTTGATTTCAACATCTTCAAAAGTTTTTTGAGCGTACAAGAAAATTCAGGCAAAGTCAAGATAGTCTCTCCTTCCACGATAAACTTGGCATTCACAGGGGGAGGAAAAAAAAAGCAGCAGCTAAATTCCAGTATATTTTATCAAAAATATTTTCCCTTTAAAATAAATGAGCCGAAACAGAGGAACCAGTAATGCCAGAAAAGCCATTTTTTTTTATAACGCCAAGAATATACCCACAGCTTGTGATGAAAATAAGATACAGTAAGTAGATATTACCAGTTAAATATTACTATGAAGGCTTTATAAATAAACTCCTTTCCTTGCTCAAATATTGACAGAACAAGTCATATTACAGGATCCTTTTTGTGTCAAAGTTGCACAGCCTGCAGAGATCATGACTGCTAAAAGCAAAGCACTGCATTTCTGTTCTGGTCTCCAAGTTCTGCAGCTTTGTATAGTTAAGAAAGCACAACTACTCAGAAAATAGGAGGAGTATTTTAATTAATGCTTCGCATGATCCTTTAGTTGTGAACTATTATCTGACAAGTAGAGGGAGAAATTTTAGAAGGCAAACTTCCTGATCTGATGCAGTTTGGCAAAAATTCTCTTGGATACGGGACTTATTTTTACTGGAGCTATTACCACATTGCCCATATAATCAAGATACGCTAATTACAGTCTCATACACCCTTTGAAGAGTTGTTAGCAACCATATTCTTCCTCAACCTTACCCAGCCTATCAATATAATTTCCTTATAACCTTGGACTGAACTTCAACCAGTTTGTTCTTGGTGCTCTCCTGATCTCCCACAAGAAGACAACTTCCTCTAATTTCTATGTGTTCCAGATAATGCTGTGGGTGGACACCAAACTGAAAACACTGCCTGGCAAATTTAACTGCTGCTAACAAATGGTCTTGTACACACAGATCTAAACAAGAGGTGACATCAAAAGAATGACACACACACAGAGGTCACAAGAGGTGACATCAAAAGAATGACACACATGTAAGAGACACTCGGGACAGGAATTCCCAAGTGGGGGACACCCAGATTTCATCAGTACAATTAATTTGTCCAAATCTAGTTGGCTGTAGTCTGTGTGCAGTTGAGATGTTTCTTTAAATGGAAGGATTTGAACACAAAAATACAGCCCAAGTCTGTTAATCTACGGTCACAAGAGGTGACATCAAAAGAATGACACACATGTAAGAGACACTCGGGACAGGAATTCCCAAGTGGGGGACACCCAGATTTCATCAGTACAATTAATTTGTCCAAATCTAGTTGGCTGTAGTCTGTGTGCAGTTGAGATGTTTCTTTAAATGGAAGGATTTGAACACAAAAATACAGCCCAAGTCTGTTAATCTACCTAATTTAAAAGTAGGCCACCTAAGTGAATATTTGCAAATACTATGCAAGATGCAAAACATGTATTTTTACCTCCTACACCTGCACAGGAATTCAAACATCAGTGTAGGCTATGAAAGTATTTTATCTGACCTGAAAAGCAAAATCTCACCCACTCACATAAGGGCAAACACAGTAGTTGGAGCAGCTCTACGCAATCTAACACATCCAAATTAGTATCTTAATTCACACCAGAGAATTTAAATTTCACTTCCATTACTTGTGTGAAAATAATCATCACACTCAAAAAACTTCTCCAACCAGAAAATTACTTCCAGACATAGAGTACACCCCTAACTTCTAAACTAGAGCCACAGCTGATTACAGATACAATAAGTGGAGTGAAGAACATTGTTTCTTATTCACAACAACCTCCTCAGGAGACACAAAACTAAAAATGGCTTTACAGTAAATCAAGAATTATACAAATTCATGGAGAAGAACACCAACTGCAATGCATAATACAACATTGAGTGCTTTCTCACAAACCTTTTCTGACCACATTACTGACTAATCTTGACTTCGCACTCTCTCAAATCCACAAAAATCACACGCAGAACATCTAGACACCTTAATTCTTCATTCTTAAGTAAGAAATTTTTTATGTTGAGGGTGGTGAAACACTGGACCAGGTTGCCCAGGGAAGTGAATGCTCCATTGCTGGAAGTGTGCCAGGTCAGGTTGAGCAACCAGATCTAGTGAAAGACATCTCTGCCCACAACAGGGGCTTGACTAAATGGTCTTTAAAAGGTCCCTTCCAACCCAAACCACTGTGATTCTATGACTATGAATACAGACATTCAGAACCCTCCAAGAACCCATCAGAAGAGAAACATTCTTCTCTCAACCCAATCCAAGTGCATTTTCCTCATTCTTAGGATAGACTTTTTGCCCATATTTTCTACAGTTCTACAGCAGGTTTTGTTTGGCTTTTAAAGAGTGCTAGATGGAAGTGGATACCCTCTTTAGATGTTCTTGTTTCACACAAATGATGTCATTACAAAGAAGTTTAGTTTTCACTAAGATCTGGTAACCAGTTAAGACCTTGAAGCTGGAACCAGGTCTTTATGACAGCACTCACCTGCAATCAGGTGGGATCAGCAGTGGTGGGAGATACCAACTTAAATATTCACATGCTCTCTATCAAAGCATTCATACACAACCATCAGATTTTCCCCCTATAACAGTGGGTGGTATCATACTTTCACTAGAATGTGATTTCGCTGTGAATTTGCAAGTTATAATTACCAACTTTCCGCAGCTCAAAAGAAGTATCAAAGCAATGTCCAGCTGCCAGAAGCAGTACTGCATAATTAATTCCTGATGGTAATGTTGGCTCCGACTCAAATGCCTTCTTGAACCTAGAAAAAACAAACATTCAAGTTTACTTTCTAATGCAATCCAGCAGGGACATCGTTACAGTTTTAGGTACTTTAAGTGCTTATCTTCTGTTTACACAGCAAGAATCCATAGACGCAAAAATATTTTACTGTTTTCCACAAATTCTTTGTGGTTATTTTTAGGAGGATGTTATTTATACATCCTCCTCCCATTTCCTTTCCCCTCACACAAAAGCACAGACCCTGCTCATCCATCCCAGTAAAGTTACAGTATCTTACTATACTTCACTGTATGGTTATGATATCTTACTATATTTCCAATTTTCTTTAAAGAAAATTAAATAATGCTATCAGTTTGTAAAAGAACTGTTTCACAGTTATATTTTTTAATAATCTCATTAATTTACTCCTAAATATATCGGTTTTTATTGATTTGAAACCTTGGATTCTATTGTGGATCTGCTGCAGGGACACAGAGGCATAGCAAACTGCATAAGCACAAAAGCAAGTGATACACGAATATACCTCACATTTAGCTACAATTTCAGCTATTCCAAATTTTATTCTTTATTTAATGTCTCACTGACATTGTCCCCATGAGTCTGTTCACCTATAAAAGGACTATAACAGATTTCATTTTCTTCAAGAGGAAGTGAGCAACCAAGACAAAGGGCAGTGGTATTCACCTGGCCTCAATCTTGTCTTAAAAGAAGTGGAGGGGATACACATACAGAGCACACACTATCCTCATGCTAGCAATGCAAGGAGTTGTGAAATCAACAACAGGAGATCTACAGTGCTTTGAACTTATTCTTCAGAATAAGAACATCTTTGGTTGCATACACACACACATATTCACACCTCTGTAAGGAAGAGGGAAACAAGACTACCATATGTGAGTGAAGGAGCACAAGAGATTCACACAACTCTGCTACAGTAAAAGCTATGGAGTTTAAAAGTTCTTCAAAATTATGGGAAAATGCAGACAAACAATGGATGACATTAAAAAAAATAGACAGGTTGTGAGATTAATACATAAGGAAGGAAAGAAAAATCTATGCAAAACCTGAGGATTAGGCTTCTAGACCACAAATTGACAGGTAAGCAAAGCTAAGGGATTTTGATCCTAGCAGGCCAAAAATATGGCTGTTTTTTAATTTGTTTGGATTTTTTGCTGTTTTTTCTGCTCTAATGATTCAGAACTTTGCATCCTTTAACAAAAACTCTGCTTTCCATACCAGTAAAACAGGCTCTTCTTCAATCTGATACACATTTACTCTTTCTATACTCCAAAGAACAATCATTAGACAAGAGTGCAGTCCTGTAAAAAATAAATATGAGGAGCAGAGAGGACTAAATGCTTTTCTTACATCATCTTCCATTTCCTCTTGTACTATGAGCTACAACAAAACGAGGAAGAAAGTACATACAAAACATTTTTGGTCACTTAAAAAAACTCCAACCAACGCACAACAAAAAACAAACCCCATAAAAATCTGCTAGCCAAATGGGGTGACTCTCTCCTTGATTCTGAGGGTACACATCTAAGAGAAGCCTGTTGTCTGGTATTATCTGTTTGGAGTCTTAGTGATGTTGGAAACTAGGCCCTAGAGATCTTTCATGCTGCAATCCTCATGTAATAAGAAAGGGAGAGAGGAAAGATTGACTGAAGAAAAAAGCTTGAAAATTAGTATTTTTGTTCAAATACAAGAGGCTCTGTACTTTTGGAACAATGTTGCAGTTGTTGACATTTGGGAAATGTTGCAGTGCAGACACTGAATTAGGGAGATAGCAGTGAAAAGATGGGAATAAAGGCTTGGTAGCTTCAGTGAGTCTGATTTACATTGTCAGTGTGCAAAAAGAAAGTGACAGTTAATAATTAATCTTTCATCTATTAGCTCGTATTTATATGAAAGATGTCTTTTATTCTGCTTTTGAATTGTCAGAAAAGCACATAGCCTGCCTTCTTTTTTTTTTTAATAGACCAAAGTGCCTTGACATCACTAGTTGTTGCAAGACCAATGCTTTGGTTCTGCTGCCAAACTCTGGTTATCTTACGCAATTCACTTTATTTCTCTTACATCCTCATTTCTCTAAGACTGAGATAATAACCTTTATCTCAACATAAAGCAACACCACCACAGAGGCATTGTTCCTGCACACACCTTCTCCTGTTGTGGCCTGCTGTAGCACTAGGGTAGGCCTGCTCCTTTCCAAGGGCTTTCCGCTGAGTTGAGTCAGCTTTTCAGCCATGTCAAACCTGCTTCATGACTAGCACCAGAATTCAAATCAATAACCAGCGTAAAGTACAAACCAAAAGCAACTGGCCCATCTGGTACAGCGTCCAGCCAAATTGCAGCTTGCCTCACCAGAGATCACCTTGTTCCATGGCACCAACTCCCAGAGCATTCTGTACTGGGTCTCACTTGCCAGAGCCTTCAGCGATTACTGTGGGGATGGCCAGTGAGCATCCAACCCTGCAGCAGGAGCTGCCAGCCTCTGTCCTTCCCTAAGCTGGTATGCCTGACTGCAATCACTTCCTCTCTATCAGAAATATATACTGTATGTGCCCCAAATCTATGAATATCGTGATAGCTAAGATGCATCTACTCAAAGCGTGTTAAAATGGCTACATGGAATTACCACTGTTTATACATATGATCATTCTTAGTCCAATTATGTCTGAAAATCTCACAGTTTATCTATTCATTAGTTACTATGAATGATTAAAAAACAAGATGTACAGCAGCAAAAGTAATTTATATTTATTTTATGTAGCCTGTGATAATGCTTAGTATCATATACGAAACTACAGTTTTCTTTTTATATTAGTTCATGACATTAGCAACATTTAGTTTTTTTAAAAAGACCCCTGAAAGTTTGTTATGGGTTTTGTCTTAGAGGAAATAAAACTTTTCTTTAAACCAAAATTATGAAGGAGGGGATGATGACAATATGCTGCATTCCTGTTATTTCAACATCTTTTAAAAATCCAGTAAGCATTGCAAAATTGTAAAGCATGACCAGAAATCATAAACTGCACTTGTATTCTGAGGTCATAAATGGTAAACAATTTTATCTTATCTTTTACAAGAAACTGTTCTAAGATGAAGTTTACTGAAAACAAGTGATAAATGACAAAGGGAGAAGAAAGCTTTCCATTCTAAGCATTTACTTCAACAGCCAGCTGATGAGCACAAGACCAGAACTAAGATGTGATGTGCAGGATCCATAAACACAGATTGTCTGTATCCTCATCTAAACGGAGAGATGCAGCTGATCCTGACAGAATTCTAGGATGGCATCCAGTGCCTCCATTTTTTAACCTCTTCCACATAACAGCACTTTAGTGCATTTGAAAAGTATTAGAAAAATATAATTCTTGTCTCCAAAATGAAGATATGACTTTGTCTAGGACAAGAAGCCTATTATGTGCTTCTTTGACTATTGATGCTACTGTAGTCCACTGTATATGTGTATACTATATGGTAGTGATGGGGTGACAAAACCTTTGCCAGAATGAGTTTGGAACAGTCATATTGCTTGTGAGCACTGAAACAAAAAAAAGACAGAATGGCACATCCTAAGCATCAGTGCAGAGTTAAATCTCAGCACCTCTAAGCCTAGATAGCTAGTATCTATCAGACTATAGATATGCCAATCTATTCATAGCTAGTTCTTGTCTGGCCCAGAACCCTACGAATAATATAGCAGACAGGAGACTTCATATTTGGGAAAAATAAAGCAAATACACTCTGATGAGAGCTACCTAAACTTCTGAGTCTCTGAGGCACTTCAGAAACTTTGCAGAATTAGAACTGTGAACAACATAAATCTCTCATTCTTCACAAATAAGCAAAGAAGTTTAGAATATTTATTCTATCCCTTTAGGATAACAAGTATTTGGAATGAAGAACAATTTAAATATATTTTTGTTTAAGGAATCTTTTCCCAAAGCTAACAAAAGGACATGGACCAGGAAAACAGTACTCACCAGAATGTTGCTTTGTCCCTGCTTAAGGTATCTGTGAACCCAGATTCCAAAAACATGTCCTTGTAAATTCGACCAACCAGACAGTACATATCTGAAGCTACTTGGTCGTCCTGTTCTACCAGGGGAATCATAATTTCTAGAGCTTTCTGTCTGTCTCCAGGCAGATTTCGCCTATTAAAAATAAAAACTTTGCTTAAAAAACTAATAAAGTTAACAAGAAATACTTTTCATGACTGTATTTGAATGTAGACATATGACTTTATCCATGTAAAATGTGCTTCTATACACAATGAATTATAATATATACATTCTTACCCCCTCTTTCTTCTTCATTTCTTAATATCATGGGACACTTTTATAAAAGCCCCTAAACATATTTTCTCTCTCTCATGAAGCATCAGCTAGAGCAAAGCACTGAAAACAGCAAAAAGAACCTCAACAGCAATATTTAGAAAAAACATGTTACTTCCTTAGAAAGATATGAACCTCAGTTTCATATCTAATTTAACTTGTTTCATAGTAAGTCATGCTTTAAAGGAAAAGAAGATTCAATCTTGTGGGTTTTATATCCTTTTGAATGCGAAGACAGAAGTCCAAAAAGCACAAACCAGATCAAATTCCCATGATACGAAAAGTTAGGAAGTAAAGCCAATAAGGTAATATTAACAAAAGTACTTCAGACAAATAAACCATATAATTGCAAGCACTAGACACTTCCTGGTGAGTCATAGTGTTGATACATACATCATTCAATATCAAGAGTTTAGAATTTGAATGCATTTGTGTACTGAACAAGCAAATGACTCCCTTCTCAACAGAAACTATTCTTCAGTGGTTTGGAAAGAGTATTATATGCTTTTGGCAAAATTGCTGGTAATATTTGAGTGAGTACAATTTGAATTGGGAGGAATATGTAAAAGTGGTTTTGTATCTGTCTTGCCAGCTTTGCACTGGAGAAGTTTCCAAGAGTGGGCTACCTCAGAAAGAAAAGAGAAAAAGCAGAAACAAAACCATCAAAAGCCACAGCCATCTTAGAGCAAATACTACTTGATCAGAGGTTCAGCAATGAATTTTTTCTTTCCCCTCTACATGAACTTATCAAAGTTTCGATGCATCTGCAACAGCAGTGTCAATATCAAACCTGACAGATCAGAGCGCGTGTGCTGTATGTGATAACTGAGCTCATGAGCTCTGAGCTCATGCATGCACCTCCAGGAAGGAATGACATGGAAGAAAAGGTTTAAATCAAGCAGAATTGCTAACAGAGGATGAACAAGTACTTGTATCATAACAAATATAATTAAGAAAACAGAGCACAAGCACTTGTTTGAGTAGACAGTATAAACTGCTTTTCTGAGCCAAAAACAGTGTGCAAGTCTACATGCTGAGCCAACCTCTACTGATGTCTCAGCCTGATGAAAACAGATAAATGAAAGCCATTGCCGTCTCTTCCTGACTTACAGACCACTCACTCAAATTCTACCAAGTTGGAAAAGTCCCTTCAGACTACAGAGCTGCAGTAGGCTCCTCCAGTACTTCTAGAGTCACGCAGCAAGGCTGGTGTTCTCATTTGAGATGGACAATTGCTCCCAATTCCAGGTCGCTGGGAGAAAAATTAAGTGCTTCTGGCTGAGCATGTAAGTCTCCTTCAGGTCTGTGTTATTTTAGTTCCCCTGATCACTTCCCCAGTTGCTGAAGGTTTGCTTTCTTTTGTTTCCTCACATTGACAACTCACATAAAGCAACAAGAGTAAGTCTGCAACTTCTTTATTTTTTTTGGCTGACTTTCATTACAGAAGGGCAAATTTCAGAATGGAATTTCAGGTTGATAACAATTCCACACCTTGTATCAACTATCACTAAACCAGATCAAACCAATAGCTAGCTGAACTTAATGAGAACAAAACCAGTAAGGCAAAACAGTGCCTTGTAACATGGGCCATTTACATTTTTCTGGTCTCCAAAGACAGAGGTTCCTACTTTTCTTGCTGTTTACTCTTCCATGGTCAATGCCCTCACACTTTCTTGATTTAGGTCAGACTAATCTTGACTAATTGAGCCGCTCTATCCTTCCGTACCAGTGACCTGGATTAGAGGCAAGAAGAATCTTTGCTTCTTCCACAGCAAATATTCAGAAGTGCAGAGTATTCCTGACCTGCCTTAGCTCACAAAACATCCTCTAAATTCCCAGTAAGGAGAAAGTTACAATTAGGCCAAGTAATTCCAGCTTAGCACACCAAAGCATGCGCATTTTCATGGTTTAATGGATTCCAGCTTAATGTTCAATCTGGAGAAGAGAGGAAGAGGAAAATCTGATCTGAACTCCTTTGGAGGTACTGCATGGACGTTTTGTCAGACGCCCTTAAAGGCTGTATCTTAGAGTCACACCTAAAAAACCAAACCTTTCAGCCTGCAAGAAGTCTCATCAGAACCAGTGAAGTATTAGGATCAGCCTGAAAAGACTGTACTGCAGTTTTACAGGTTTTTCAGTGCCTCAGTGAACTAGTCAAGCCCTGTTTTCAAAGGTAACTTTCTTTCAGCAAACTGTAACCTTGAGGCCAAAATGACATGTTAAAACTCCGAGAAGCACCTAGTGAGCTTTGTTAAGGCTTTGTAGAAGTGGCAGACACATGCTGGATTATTAAATCTGCAAAACTTCATATATTTATGGCAAAGTGGAAACAAAAAGGGCACAAAATTTATACCTTCATATACCTGGTATAAAGGCAGAAGAAAGGATCTGGACATTTTATTCAGATAAAATGATGCCAGACAGGGTGGTTGTTGTTGCTCTGCTTTTTCTTTGAAAACTAGGTTTTATATTTTCAACAAATTACTTTGACATGTTTTCACATCACTTTGAAATGATATGCAGTTTTAAGACTCCTCAGTGAATCTGTATTACAAAATTCAAATCTGTGAGAAACAGATCTGTAGACATTTTCACTATTTGAGAATTTCAAAGGCTGCTGACACCTGGTCTACTCCTCTAAAAGCCAACAGCAAAATCTTCATTGTGGTAACAGCAAGGGAGCAGAGAACATCTGTAATTTCCTTTGAAAAACTCCCATCTTAGTCCCTTGCCTAAATGCCAGTATCCTAAAAGAAAATCCAGGCTTGGCTTTCATTTAATCCAAGGAAGTAGTGTGTGTTACTTCAAATAACACATTTTGTGCAGAGAACATGAAAATTCATTTATTACTACAAAACAATAAAATCTTCTGATGAATATTTGATGAAAGGTGTCCTCCTGCCTCCTGACATTACCAGAATTCAGACCTGAATGAGATGATATCTTCACTAGCACAAATGCTGCAGAACTCTTACTCATACAGCAATGTTAAAAGTGTATTTTACAGAGGAAAAATACTCCTAGGTATTTATTTGCTTCAATTTAAGTACTGAAACAAAAAAAAAAATGCAAACCTATGGAAAGATAAATCAAACATGCTAAAGGAAAAGGAATGAAATTTGATAGTACAAAGAAAAAAAAAAAAGCATCTTAGATTTATCACGAAGTTCAGAGGCCCCAAACCTGCTTCAGTCAAAACTGTAGGACAGCATATAAAGATTCCAGTAGGGAACTTTACACAGGATTACCCACCCCATAATGAAGTTTGCAGTTCTGATTTACAGTTCAACAGCAGAAGGAAGGCTATATTCTTACCTGTTGAGCGCAAATGCATAATGCAGCCTCACATGGTGGTGGGAAGCCAAGTCAAACGTAGGCAGTTTTTCTAAAGTTTTCACCAGTTTCACAATAGAATCATAATCCTTCCAAAAAAGGGGGAATAATAAAGTGTTAAGTGGCTGCACTAAGGTATGTCTATACAAGCTCCTCTTTAACCTCAGCAGCTATTATTTCATACTAAGAAGTATCTTCAGTTCATTGTAAGTTTTATGGATTTCAGTTTCTTCAGCCTCAAACTGTAAATAACCTAGCACTCATCAGAAATGGGAATATGCACACTATTTAGCAGGGAAACAATTTGGTCTCCTGTGATGCTTCAACATGGACCTGTGGAAATTTTCCTACACCTGTTTCATGATTCAAGTTAGCTTCAGGAGCTGAACATATATCAGTGTTCATATTGTATAGACATTACAAAGCTAACTGCATCTGAATTAAGGCATCCCAAAACCCTGTAGTAAGCATGAGCCACAAAAACAAGAGATACCACGTGTTTTAAAGTAACTAACTGATGAATTTAAAAACCAAAGAAACCCAAGAATCAAAACCAAACCACTTCAAAATGTTTAAGAAGCAACAGTGGAAATTATGTATAAAAAGTATACAATTGCTGACATCATTCCAAAAGCTGAAACGCATATGAACATGCTGTGTTTCCATGAGAAATGTCACAAGCACGGTGACAAAGAATACATACACCTATCCATCACAGAATGCTACCACAGCTTTTAACTAGGACACACTACAGGCTATTTATCACACAGTAATGCTGAGATGGAGAAGAGTCATTTTATGTTGTGTACTTTTTAGGTATTGTTATAAGACAATACTTTTCTGCTACCTAAAGGCAGAGAACAACGTAACTATGAAACAAAGTAAAAACATCAGTGAAGACACTCTAAGAGATTTTTACTAGTGTGCTTTATCCATACAGTTTGTTAACCCTATCTTAGTTTGTTAACAATAAGTATATGAATAGCAAAGCGCACTAAAGATTTCAGGGAGAATGTAATCCAATTTTCTGCCTTTTTAGGTGATGTCAGTGAATAGAACTCATACCTGGATGTCTCTGTAGGACAGCAGCAAGTTTATTACGATGTCAGCAGACAAGACTTCAACATTGTCCACTCGCTGTCGAATCCTTGCCAGCTCTGCTGCGAGATCTTTACCCATGTACAGGGTACGAGCCTTCCTGATGTCATTCAGAATGGATTCCCGGAAATACTGGCTGGAGAGGAAAAACTTCACATCAGCAATTTGGGATAGGTCCCTTGCACTTGTTTTTCCGGCCCCACAGTTCTCCCACAACACATATACAGAACACGCATTGATAGAGCAATGGCAATGGAGAGATTTGGTCAGGCTAAACTATTAATTATCAACTTGTCTGAACAGAAGGCAAAACACTGCATTGCCACAACAAAAGCATGACATTTATC